TTTCAAGTGCATTTTATCTAATTATCTTATTTTAAAGTAAAAAATCTCACTTCATTGGCAAGCTGTCTAATTTACTTACCGGTACTCAAATCAACGGTAAATAAACTTCATTTAAGACATTTGTACTTATTTCTAGACCACTTTTCCAGTGTGACAATCATTTTCTGAACCAGTGGTACACTGCTAACTATGTTTTACTATTTGGTATCAGTTCTCATCTACACCTCCATCGACAGCGCAGCTTCTGCAGCTTTAACCCCTGCCTCCGTGAGCATCAACAGGGCTGGCCCACGCTGAAGAGGGGGGGAACTCAAGGACAACTTACATTCTTCTGACATGTAAAATGACTTCTATAGAAACATACTATAGGTTTCATCATAAAAATATGTATTTTTAAATTAATGCACTTTCAATCATGTATAAATTATCACTTTAACACAAAAAAAGCCTCCTCAAAATCTCTGAAAGACAAACTTTTTTTTGTTGAACAAAGATGAGTTTAACATTTTATCATGATTTGACGCTTTTTTTCTGTACAATTTATGATATTTTTTTTCTTTTATACACTGGAAAAAATGAAATCTAGATACCGGTAAGTCATTTTTTCTTAAAAAAAGTGCATTTGTTTTTGGATTGAGGAGGTAAAAAAAAACATTTTGCCAATGAAACAAGACAATTTACACTTAAAATAATAAAACACAATTGCATTGTCTTATTTCAAGTGCATATTGTCTAAATATCTTATTTTAATAAATGTTTTCTTATTTCTAGATCATTTTTCCAGTGTATAATTGCACATCATTGTTGGAATCAAAAAGTATACTCCACTTTTACTGTGAATAAACTGCACACTTGCCTCCTTGATAACTTTTCCAAACACTAGATGATGCAAAGAAAAAGCAGCCAGCAAACAGCACAGCCAGAGCCGCAGTGACTTCATAGTTGATGAGTGAACGATCTGATCATCCAAAAATTTTTCTAAGTATTGATTGCAGGGGTAGATATTACCCACAGACATAAAAGGGCCCCAAAATCTAATTTTTCTTAGAGCCCCACGGAGACTCTAAGCACCAGCGGCCCTGAGCACCAATGTTCATATTGAATTTATACCGCTGCTCGTCTCTTATCCCTCCTGGCTTCTGATGTGGTTTGTGCTTTTTCACACTGAATCAAAGACTTTACCTTTTCTTTTCACACCTCCGCTTCAGAAATTCTTCCTTGTTTACACTACAAAATAATTTTAAAAGACTTAAATTAAATTTATTTACGCCTAATTTGAGTAGGTAAATAAGATGATTTGCTAATGGAATGGGTGTTTTGACTGTTAAAATAAGATAATTAGATAAGATGCACTTGAAATAAGACAATGTAATTATTTTTTCTTATTTTGAATGTAAATTGTCTTGTTCCATTGGCAAAGTGTCTCACTTGCCTCCCCAATTCAAGAAGAAATGCACTTATTTTTTATTTTTTTTTAGAAAGAATTGAAATCTAAATAAGTAATTTTTCTTCAAATAAGTGCATTTGTTCTTGAATTGAGACACTTTGCCAATGGAACAAGACAATTCACATTTAAAATAAGAAAAAACTATTGCATCGTCTTATTTCAAGTGCATATTATCTAATTATCTTATTTTAAGAGTAAAAATACTCATTCCATTGGCAAATCATATTATTTACCTACTCAAATTGAGGCTAAATGTACTTAAATTAAGACTCTTTTACTAAATTCTAGCTGGTTTTAGCAGTGCGGTCCTCTTACGGTAAATATCCAAAATGCTTTAGTTCACTACCAGACCAGCGTAAACTACACAGATAATACATAACAAGCTAACTTTCCTTTGTTGGATCACAAATCCTTTTCATGCAGCCTGAGTCGCACGGAAATGTGTGAAGTCATTGAACGTCACACGGTGCTTTAATCCACCACAACTCCTTCATGGTTCCTTTAGTTCTGCTGTCGTTGTTCCTTCTTCTCTGCTCCCTTCACTCAGCATTCTCCTAGTTCTAAGCTGAAACTCTCAGTCAATATTGCAGAAGAGAGCCATAAGTGGAAGTGGAAACAGAGATCACACAAATCAGATATTTATGAAGTTAAATACATTAAATTCAATGAATTGATGAAGTATATTATATCTAAATTCATTTAGAATAAACATAAAAAAAGTTCAACCAAACAATTTTCTAAACAGATTGTCTAAAAGAGAAAAAAGAAAGTATAACTTTAAAGGAACAGATATTTTTAAAATATCCAGACAGAGAACAGATGGAAAGATGTTTTTCTATTAAAGGTGTTGATTTATGGAATAAGATTGTTAGTGAATTAAAGCAGTTTATTCTGTTTCTAGTAAAAAAAACTGAAGGTGATTTTGACGAGTCTATATGACATTGGATAGGCTGATGAATTGTTGCTTTTATTTATTTTTTTGTAGCTCACGTTCTGAGTAATGCCGTTTTTTTGTTTGATTGTTTTTTTGCATGGTTGTAATTATCAGAGTTGAATAAGTAATACTTTATTTAAAAAATGGAGGAGGATCATATAAGCTTTTACTTCTTTCTGCTCCTTTTATTCTATTCAGTTGTCACTTGCACAGGTTTTGTTCTGTTGTTTTCTTTTAATGAATGAATGAATAAAATAAATAAACAGCAAGCTGTAACAGCTTAACACAGCGCTGCTGGAGGTTCTTTTGAACAGGGTGTGCTGTGAATTTTTTTTTTTTTTTTTTTTTTGGGGGGGGGGGACCTATTAGCCTATAGGCCTTTAAAATGCAATAAATTGATTGAGCTTCCCTACTTTATTGTCATATACACGCTTTCAGGGTCTGTAACACCCAGACTTCATCAGTTCTCAGCTGAGTATACGCTCTATTAATTAAACTTCACTATAACACTATAACCAACAGATTGTTAGTTATAGTGTTATAGTGATTTGCTCAGCTGGCATGAACCTGAGTCACTGTGTTTATGTCACATGTGACTCTATTAGCTCCAAAATACTTTTCACAAGGAAATTATTTTATTATTGCACTATTTAATGTTATTGAACAGTTCTCCACATCCATTACACAATGAACACAAGATCTAAATAACACAATAATACTATGCGGCCGTTCCAAACGTTGCATTTCTGAATTCTCCTGAGTGAATAAAGTTAATGTGATTGGTCGATTATCAAGAGGGCGGGATTGTTGTGGCGGAAGGTTCAAAAGCAAGTTTGATTGTGGCCGGTGTCTCTGAAGTATCTTTCTAACCAGTTAGCAACTTAGAGCTAAAGTCTCTAATGAGCGGATGAATCTGAAATGCGTTTCTGAGCCATATTTCCTCCTCGCTTCTCTCATTAGTCTCTGTAAATTGACTAGTCTGCTGCCGCGAGCGATATAACCTCTTTACACAGCGACCACTGGTTTGCTTGACGTTGCCATGACAACGTAACTTCTGGGAAGTTGTGTTAATTTGGCCTCTAAGTAATGAAACTAAAATCCAAATAAACGTAACGGTAAATGAAAAAAGTCAAACTTATTTCCCAAAATATTCATGAGAAATGTATAAACTATGCAAAGTTTTTATAATACATATTTTTTAAATCTCCCTTTATACCAACCACTAGGGGATGCTGCAGCAACCCCCAGCACCCTCAGTTCCCGTGGCCATGGCATCACCCGGGACCCCAATAAGCTGCCATCACATCAGCCTTGTTCATAAAACTGACTCCAAAGCTGAAATATATTTCTGTCTCTTTTCAGATTAATCCTGAACCACCAGCTGAAAACTCCCCGTTAGGAGGTAGAAACAGATGCAGGAGGTGAGGGTTAAAATGGGACGCAGGGATGAGTGTGGCATGGTGATGTAATAGAGAGCAACACATCAGTTCACGGGTGCAAACGATTAGGTGTTGGTAGCAGTGACACTGGTTTTAGCATCGGATGCAAAGGATTGCAAAGACCCACCACACGAAGACAAAACGCTCCTCATTTCAGAGACTTTCTCTATAAACACAGAGCCTGCTGAGTGAATGGACGCCCTATAAGGCTGTGAAAGGATGCCAGACCTGTTGGTGGCGCTGTGATATAATACAGGAAGACAGAAGCTGAGGATTGGAGCCATTGTTGTCATTTTCAGGGTGTGGCCCGTGTGTGTTTTTGTCTAGAGACAGGCTGATGATGCAAGCATCTCAGACAAATCTGCCTGGAAACCATAAATGGAGTTTAGAAATATTTGAACTCCTGGTTTCCTTAATGTTTGCTGACAGATCCCCAACATGGCGGCTTTGTATGGACAATAGTCGGGTTCAATAAGGTGCTTTTAGGTTTAGGCCTGAGTTTGTCTCGGCATTAATAGGTGCTAAAATATAACATGCTCCGACTCCTCAGGAGAGCAGCCATGCTTTAGGCTAAACGCTGCAAAAAATGGAAATCTAAATATGTCTCTTTTACCTCCTTAATCCAAGAACATACGCACTTATTTTAAGAAAAAAATTATCTAGATTTTAAATTTTTCCAGTGTGAGAAAACATTGCAAAAGATAATAAGTAAAAAAAATTCTTAAATTACATGTATTTACCCTTAATTTGAGTTGGTAAATAAGATGATTTGCCAATAGAATGAGTATTTTACTCTGAAAATAAGATGATTAGATATTATGCACTTGTTTGCACTGGCACATTGTTTTTTTCTTATTTAAATGTAAATGTTCATATTCCATTGGCAAACTGACTCACTTTCCACCTCAATTCAAGAAAAAATTCACGTATTTTAAGAAAAAAAATACTTATTTAGAATGAATTATTTGCAGGGCAGCGAGGCAGCATTGAGAAAAACATGGCTTCCAGGTGAGGATGTGCGGCTAATCAAACCCATTGTTGCAGTAATGTGGGTCAAAACTAACAGCGTGTAAACACGGTGCACCATCAGTGGAGATGGAGCAGGAAATCATCAATCTACAACTCCATCAACTAAGGTTAACGTAAACGAAGAAAAGAAAAACCCTGAAAGTCGGTTTACCATGAGTTACAGGTATGTACAGCCGAGCTGCATACTCCTCCTCTTCCTCCTCCTCTTCCTCTTCCTCATCAGAGTCTGGCTCAACAGCATCTGCTAACAGCGGGTTGTCATGTGGATTTGAGTGTGGATGTGATTGGTCAATGACAGGTGATGGGCAGGAGGGGGAGGGCATGGGAGAACCTATGAAAGAACACAACCAAAAAGAAAAAAAAAGATGATTTTAAAGAAAGAAAACAAAAGTTAATCAAATCTTAAAGTAAAATGGCTGAAAATGAAGGGTGATGGTTCCTGCTGAGGGGGCATTATGGGATATGAGAGTGATGACATCACAGCAGATGAAAGGCTTTAATAAAATAGACCAGAACCTGTGGAGAACCTAAAGAAGCTGGTTCTTCTGGCTGAACCAGACTCTGCTCGCAGCCTGAGTGGTAAACAAGAGGAAGAGCCGACTTTTTGTTGCACCGCCTTGAAAGCAGGCTTACAAGAAAAGTGCAAGAAAAATCAATTGTGTATTGATGCGGTAACCTTGACATTTACTGACTGCTGAATGCTAAACTGCACAGCTCCTTCTTTGTGTACATTTGTGTTTCTGCTCTGAATGGAGGTGTTGGAGAAAATTTGTCTAAATCTAGCAGAAAAAAATGCAACCAAAAAAAGATGAGGTTAAAAAGACAAAAATATACTATTTCATTTATTAATTTAACTAAAGGACAGCATAAATGTAACATCTCATTAATATACAGTGGATTTGTTATATTTTAGAGCAAATATACTTCAAAAACTTTATCAAGTTTAGAAGAAAAAAAAAATTATTTCCATTAAAAACATATTTAAACAGCGTTTGAAGTAATGTTGCACCTTACTAATACCAGTATCAGGCGGGGCCCCGATCCAGCACTAAACTGGTATTGGTATGGGTGAGTACCAACAAATAGGGCAACGATACCATTTTGAGAACCTAAAGTTTATTCAACTATTGTCCCCCATTCCTAGCCTAGTAAACTAGCCCCACCCGCCAGCGGCATAATCAGTTTTCCCTGTGAGTGTTCTAGCCTCCATCAATGTCCCAGGCCCTAAAACTGGCGGGCCAATCACAACGCAGAGATGTGTTTTGAATTTCTGAATGCAAAGCAGGTGGACTTTTGACGACAAAGCTGCGTGAAACTGGAGAAAGAACAACAAGGAAGATGGCAACAACTATTGAACAGTTCTGGTTTGATTTAGCTTTGGGATCAGTTCTGGAAGGATTAGACTTGGGGTTTTCATTGAAACGTGAGCAGGAAGAGGCTCTACGCTCATTCATTTTTAAGAAGGACGTATTCGCCGTTTTACTGAAAGGCTGTTTGTTTACACTCCCCCACCAGCTTCCTGTCACACTCCCTACATCACAGTCAGTTGCCCTCATTGGTCAGAGCTTTGGCATATAGGCACAGACATGGTTTGAAAAACAACAGGTTTTTCTCATCAACAATCTTCTAATGTCTCATTCATCGGGGCCAGACTAGATTACACATTTAATCTCACATTTAGTCTGGTTTATCAGGCTAACCCATTCCAGGTAGGCAATAAAAAGTTCTACTGGATTCACTTTGTTTTAGTCTTTTTCCTGCTTCACAAAGGTAGGCAGCAGCTTGACATGAAGCCATGATGGTAATTATTTTACATCCAAGTAGAATGCAGTTCTTCATATACACACACACACATCAATTTCAAACACATGGTATCGGTATCGCCTGATACTCCACAGCCAGGTATCGGCACAACACTACTTTCAAGCCACAGACTCTAAAAACATCCATATACACAGATTAGGGCTGCAACTAACGATTATTTAGCAAATCGATTAATAATTGGATAGCCAAAGGTTCCTTAAAGAAGATATTTTACAAAATGAAACCAGGTGAAACCAAAACTTTACACCTGAGGAGTTCTGGATAGAGCAGATTGACACATAAATAATATTTCTTTATCTTGAATGCAAATATTTATATATTTTTAGTACCATCTTGATATAATTCCTGCTCTAAGTGGGTCTCTCCGTCTGCTATCGGCCTGTTTTAGAGCCTCTATACTCCATTCAAAGATTATTCCCTGTCATGTTATTGTACACATCAGTTTGCATTTTAGTTTTTAATAATTGTTTCCCTTCTGAGGAACAATAAAGGTTATTTTAATTCTCCTGCATTGCTTCTAAATCGTCACTCAGATAAATAATCCTGTAATTTTCCTCCTGGTTACCGAGGAAACCAACACATTAACATCCACTTTATGAACTCTGGTTTTAGCAGGAACTATTTGGAGGCTGTTTGAGGTTCAAGTCTTAACCTCTAACGTCGTTATCCTGCTGTTATTTGATTTTATTATCAGCTGACTTGTACTGCTTTTTTGTTACTCTTTTATGGATTTCTACATATTCATCAATTAAAATAAAAAAAAAACAAGAAAATAAATTTTTAATTGGAGTCACTTGTTGTTATTCTTTTTTTATTTCCATTTATTTCACTTCAGTTAAATTCTGACATTTCTTAAACATTTCCTCCCTGGTAGTTGTTTCTGACATATTCCGATCTAAAAAAGTATTTTAATTGAATTGAACCCCCCCTCCCTCTGTGAGATGAGTCCAGCCAAGCCGCCCTCTTTGATAATCCCACATCAAAGATGAAACGTGCAGCTGATGGAGCGTTTTCTGCCCCAAGACTCTGGATTACCGCACCTCCAAGTGTCCACACCCTTCAGCGCTCACTTCAAAACTCACCGCTTCTCCTCGGCCTTCCACTGAGTATCACACATATAGTTCTTTCTCATTTATTTATTTGATTTAAATTTTTCTCTATTTGCAGTTTTATAATTGTTGCTATAATTGAGAAGCAGCTTAAAGGAAACTGATCTAAAACAGGATGTGATGAATCTATATCTCTTTTCTCCAAGGCCTTTTGTTTCACAGAAATAGGAAATCACATGTACCATATTATGTAGTGTTTTACATTGAACACACACACACACACACACACACACACACACACACACACACACACACACACACACACACACACTCCTTAGTTTGACTGATGTCGGATATTGGAAAAATAAAGTCTGTTTGGCTTTCACTGAGGAAACATGAACATTAGAGGATTAGAGGAGCATGAGAGCGATATTAAAGAGTAGACGTGGTCTGCTGCACTGACTGCACAAATTAGGCACAACAGAGCAGCACTATTACACCTTTGTCTGCTACAGAAAAGTCTTTTTTTGTTTTTTAGAAAAAAGCAGCTTTTAGACCAGTGTGCTGATTTATTTCTACTGACATTTACCGTTTTATAATTAAAAACGCTGCTTCAGTAAAAATGGTAATACAACTATAAACTACAATATGCTGAGATAAGAGCATAATCATTAAACTCGCTCTATGTGTCTATGTTCCACAAAAAAATACAATCTTAACGCATACAACGATGATGCAATTCCACTGAGAACTGAAGAAAGAAAAATGCATTCTTCAATTTAAAAAGCAGCAAAAACATCAGATTTTCATTTAGGTTTATTTCTGAACCTCTTCTTTGTTTATCATTTTATACAAATAGTAGATTTTGTAATGATTTTTAACATAATTTGAAAGTTTTTTTCCATCTCAGATGAATAAAGTGAAGACAGAAGACGTCATAGGGTTATAGAACTGAACATTTATTTAAAAATGTCATGAATTGAATCCCTCAGAGTTGCTTTGTGGAACTGATGACCTAAAGATGCTTCAAAGGAAACAGAGTTTTTCTTCTCTGTTTAAGCAAAGACTAAATAAAATCAAGGCGAGGAAAGAAAGGACGTAAACAGAGCAGCCATTTTTCCATTACTGTGGGTTTCCAGTGTAAAACATAAAAAGCTAAGGTAATCACAGCATAGTGCATTTTTATTACGATGGTTAATAAACAAGAAATCCAATTTTTTAACCTGTTGGAAAAAATCCAGCGAAGCCAAACATGAATATCAGAGACGTGGAGAAGCAGTAATCAAACATAAAGGAGACAGAGATGTCCTATCTGAGAGTCTGAATGCAGGTATTTGGAGTTTAATCTTTTAAGGATGTAACGCTATCTTGTTTGTGTCATCTAACAGCTTAAATGCTTAAAGACTCTACTGCTCTCTCTCTGCTTTGCTATTTAAAATCTATAAACACTGGTTTGGAGCAAGGAAACTTCTCTGGCCTGAAATTCTTTTTTCCCATTTTTCCTGAACTCAATAAATCTCCATATCAAAGGCTCCCTTTGTAGAGCTCATTGTTGGAAGGATGACGGAGGAGGAGGGACATTAGAAAGTTTGCGTTCTGGGCCTGAAGGAAACCTGGACCTGGCCTTTATTAACTGGTGGAGCTATTTGGACGTGTTTGTATATCTGCAGTAAATAGCTCAGGAGGAGATGTTTTAATATTAAAGCCAGATGTAGGCGTCCACTGAACGCCACAGGGACGGCGGCTCTTACCGTCTGGAGGTTGGTTGTTGGGGTCCAGGCTCTGCTTCTTTTGAATACTGATCAACGGAGTAAAAATAACCGCGTGAAAGTGGCTCCGAGCGTTCCTTCCCAGGACCTCAGGATATGAATTTATGCAGCATTCATATCTTGGGGGAACACTGGAAATGAGTCATATATATATGAACTACATTTAAAGGTGAAATTGCACAAGACAACCGAGGAGACAGAAAGAGGAGCCTTTGAAAACCCTTTCTTAGTGATACTCTGCTGCATATATTCATGTAAAAAGGCAGAATAAAGCGCAGATTTAAGCTTTTCATTAGTAAGATACCACCCTGTATATCCCAGGTCCTGGCCGATGAATAGTTTTCAACAATTACACAAAATTTGGTGTTTATTAAAAATAAATTTGATGAAAATCTGGATTTTTTTTCATGCACTGGAAAAATGATCTAGAAATAAGTCAAAATTTCTTAAATTAAGTTTATTCCCCCTTAATTTGAGTAGTTAAATGAGATAGTTTGCCATGAAATGAGGATTTTTTTTACACTTAAAATAAGATAATTTGATAATATACACTTGAAATAAGACAATGCAATTGTTTTCTCATTTTAAATTCAAATTGTATTGTTCTATTAGCAAAATGTCTATTTTTCCTCCTCAATTCTAGAACAAATACACTTATTTTAAGAAAATTATCTTATTTACCTGCTCAA